CTGGGATTATAGTTGACTTGTTTGACTTGTCCGAATGAGTCTCTCAGAGGACTCTGAGCTGTATGGATGCATACATACAGATAAATGTGTGTGTATGTGTGTGGGCTTTAATGAAAAAGCACTCAGGACTTATTGGGTCAGGCTTATTTAGCTCTGCTGACACAAAGTGCCACTTTCATTCGTCTTCTGTACTAATTGGACGCTCTGCTTCAGCACTCATGGCTGGAGGATGCTTATCACAACACACATATGCACACACACATACTTAAACAGTATATATGATTTTGAAAGATTCTTTATAGGTGTAACGTAATTTGAGAAAAAAACTGCTCATATGACCTTACCCTGTTATATGACCTTTTTCCTACCCCTAAACTTAACCCTCGCAGAAAATCTGTGGCAAATTTAGAATGTCAAAAGACTCTGGTAAGTATGATTTTTAAAGCATTCTGATAACAAAGAAACATTATACAATTTTCTGTCCTCATAAACCAAAGGTCTCAAACTCAATTGCTGGAGAGCCGCAGCTCTGCACAGGTTTGATCCAACCCTAATCAAACACAGCTGATCTAAATAATCAAGGTTTTCAACACTACTAGACACTAATAGATCAGCTATGTTTCATTAGGGTTGGAGCAAAACTGTGCAGAGCTGCGGCCCCCTAGAAATTGATTATGAAACCTATTTTTATTATACGTAAACCATATAAACACTCACATTAGTTTGTTTTTGTGAATTGTGGGAATATTACACAGGTTTACATTGTTTTTATACTGTACAAACTGTATTTTCTTTCCCATCCCTAAACCCTATCCATAAACCCAATCCTCACAGAAAAAAATGTGCAGTTTTACTTCTGTATGATTTTAAAGATTTTTGAGAAATAATTAATGATAATTCAACACCTATTTAAAATTTGTGTCGTGATATATCAAACACACACACACACACTTTGGCATTTGGCCGCTAGCATTCATAATCATATTATTTCTGTGTTTTCTCAGTTGTTAGCATCACACAGTCACTCTCTAGCATTTGGTTGCCATTTTACACTCCCTCCACCATCTCTAACTTCTCCTAGCTCATAGCTTATGTCTGTTTGAAGGATTAGTCAACTACATAGCAATCAGCCTTGAGTCTTTTGCATCCACATTAACTCATAATCAATTGAAATAGTTCAATAATGCTCTTAGGTTCTGTTCTCTTAGCCCCATGGGATGGTTGACATACTGCTCCTCTCCCTGCTCTGTCCATCGGGCATATAAAGTTTTTCCCAGAACAGAACCATCCCACCAATGATAACTGACACTGTAAACCACCAGACACTGTAAACCACCAGATCCTGCTATCTACGCTTGAGTCATTGGGTGTTGCAGGCACTGTTATTCAGAGGTTCAGATCTTACTTCTCTGACAGGTCATTCAGGGTGTCTTGGAAGGGAGAGGTGTCCAACCTACAGCATCTAAACACTGCGGTACCACAGGGCTCTGTTCTAGGGTCACTTCTCTTCTCCATCTACACGACATCTTTAGGATCAGTCATCCAGAAACACGGATTTTCCAACCACTGCTATGCTGATGATACCCAGCTATACCTCTTTTATCACCCTGATGATCCCTCGGTTCTGGCTCGCATCTCAGCCTGCCTGTCTCAGCCAAAACAGAAATGCCTAAGTTTCTGCTAACCCGACTCTACATCATAACTTTTCAATCCAAATGGATGGGGCAACCATTACTGCATCCAAAATGGTAAAAAAAACTTGGAGAAACGATTGATGACCAACTAAATTTCTCTGACCACATCTCTAGAACTGCTTGATCTTGCAGATTCACACTCTACAACATCAGAAAGGTCTGACCCTTTCTATGTGAACATGCAGCTCAACTCCTTGTTCAAGCTCTTGTTCTCTCCAGACTGGACTATTGCAACTCTACTAGCCGGGCTTCTAGCTAGCTAACCTCTTCAGATGCTTCAGAATGCAGCAGCACAAGTGGTCTTTAATGAAGCTAAAAGAGCACATGTCACTCAGCTACTCATCCGTTTGCACTGGCTGCCAGTTGCTGTTCGCATCAAATTCAAAGCTCTGATGTTTGCTTACAAAGCGATTTCTGGCTGCGCTCCTTCTTATCTGCTCCCACTTCTGCAGATTTATGTGCCCTCCAGAAACTTGTGTTCTGTGAATGAACATCGCCTCGAGTTTCCATCCCATGGAGGGAAAACATTCCCGAACTCTCGCATTCAATCTGCCCAGTTGGTGGAATGAACTCCCTAACTGCATCAGAACGGCAGAGTCACTCACTGTCTTCAAGAAACGACTAAAAACTCAACTATTTAGTCTTCACTTTCCTTACTAATCTGCAATTCCCTCTCTGGCTCCACCACTAACTACTACTACAAAAAAAAATACTAATGTTTTTCTTCTTGCACTTTCTTTACATACCAGAAACTTGCCAACAGCACTCATTCATTGTTGCTCTTATAGTTGTTTAAATTGCTTCCTTGTCCTCATTTGTAGGTCGCTTTGGATAAAAGCGTCTGCTAAATGACTAAATGTAAATGTAAACTGCAAGCTTAAAGAGCCCCTATAATATTTTTTTCTTTTTTTTAAATGACCTTCCATGCAGTGTGTGTCAAATAAATAAATAATGTCAGTTCAGATCTTTTGTTTGAATGCATTGGGGTGGATATGGGACATCTACAAATATGAAGTGCCAGTTCCGGTAAAACGTGAATGCGCCTTTCCCTTAAGACTAGTGGAGCGTGGTGGATCATGGGACTGATCATGACGCAAAAATGACGATCACTGAAAGATAGTGATTTGGCTGTGGAGAATAAAGGATTAAACTTCATTATTCAAAACAATGCCACAGTATAGCCAACATAGTGCTGTGTTTGTTCCTGTCAGTTTTCTGAGTTTTGATACAATAACCTGTGCTGCAATGTGGTATTCGCCATCCGTTTGCTATTAAAGGAGGCTATTTTGGGACTTTGTCAAACTTTAAAAGGGACTTTAGCCCATACATACAGACCTTTCTGGAAAACTACCGGCAATCTTCCGGAAAGGTCCGTATTTGTGAACTGGCTCTTGCAAAACCAGTAAGTTAATTTCAGCTATTTTCTGGAAAAAAAGTTGTAACATTAGCGGTAATTTGCTATAATGCTGCGCTGTGTGAAGCCAGAAGAAAGATTGCCGGAAAGAACGCACTGACATGAGACGTCTACTTTAGCCAGTCAGAATACTCAGGCGCATTTACATCCACGCTGTTAATGAAAATAAAAGCCTTTGAATATTTTTCCAGACACATTTAGCTGCTGGATGTTAGTCAGATAATGTTTCAATGTTCTTAATGCCAAATGTGTAAATAATTATCGATAAGATGCTTATGATAAGCCGTTTACCTTCAAACTCTGCTTGCGTGACGAGTCGCACTTGCCCGTGAAACAGCCGGTGATCGCCAGCAAACACACATATGTACACCTTGACAAGCAAAAATGTTTATCCATATGTTTTCACTAAAGTTGTTCACAATACTTATCCATCGACAGAGTTTGTAAAGTAGTCAAATGTTTACAAATCCAAGCAAGGCAGTTAAGGGCTTATTTCTGATTAATGATGTCAGAATTTATGGGTATCTTGAAATGGATTTCTGAATGGTCTTTTCAAGAAAAATTCCGTAACGTCCATGTCCGTGTGAACAATGCTTTTTTGAATTTTAAGGATATTCACCGGTATCACTGTGTGTAAGGACTACTTGTCAGTAACTGTTACAGTTCATAAGGACCAGTTTCTTCTCCCTCTGAATCATAACATTTAAGTGCAAATAAAATTGTTGCCTTGTTTTCTGTAGCTTTCAAAATTTGTATTTAATTGTGTGTTGAAACTTGTAATCGCTCCACACTTAGTGTGGTTTAACAGCAGTGATTAGTGCTTGTACAGATCAACTTATAAACATTTTATGCAGTGGTCCCAGAGCTAAGTTTACTCGCATGTACAAAAATTGGCACACACATCAAACATGCCAATACCTACAAAAAAGTCTGTTGGAGTGAAATCTCAAACCCAACAGGAAGTAAGATATTTTTAACTTCCTCGACCGAAAAAGTATGTTTTTATTTGTATTTTAACGGGCTTTCTAAGGATTTTTCCCAAAGGGGGTGTCCGTGGCGGCCTCACAAACTTAAATTTTCCGCATACAAACCTATAAACCTTATGTATTTTTAATCAGTGCTTGTAATTCATCTGTCAGGTTAAATCTGTATGGGGTTATTCACATATTGCGTCTAAAACCATGTTGAAAACGTGACATATGCATCTTCATTTACCAATTTAAATGCTTTACTGAATTCGTGGCCTTCTGCCATTTGTCTTTGCTATGGCAACTATCAGCTCTTCATACACACATGCAGCGCGGCCAATTTTCACTATAGTTCAACATTTGCTACTGTGTGGAATAATACTGAATGTGTGTTGTTACTCGGGGTTAGGGTTATGAGTAGAATAATATGCTGGTGTTTACCTGCATTGCTTTATTGCAATCTTGCATTGGGCTTTCACATACTTTCTGCTTATTCATATCCACGGTGGCCATTTCTCTCTGTCTCGCACTGAACCCAGTCAACCAATCACAACAGACTGGGTCATTAGACAAATTACAGCAGATTAGACTCACGTAAAAGAGGGGTCTCTGAACAAATTATATGAGAGTGGTTGGGATAATTAGCTAAAAATAAATAAACGAAAGTGATTCTGACTTAAATACATATTACATATTTAAGCTTTAGATCTTAAATGTATACATAAAACAAGAACTATACTTTACAAAAAAAATCTTCTGTTTTGAAAGATCATATATAAATCACTTGTTACTTTCCATTTCTATTCGACTGTGAAATGTCTGAGTGAACATTGGTTTCCACACCACACATTCATTCATCCTAGCTGTAGCTTCCAGTAAAAACACTCAGCTTGTGACCTGTAATCAGAGTTTAGTGAAGGATATTTCCCCGCCGGCCCCACGGCCACCCTGTAGTCGCTGTAGCTGTTGAAAGGGTGGAAGTTGAAGATGAAGATGAGGTTTGCTCTCTCGAATACGATCACCTTGTCACCCTCATGCTTGACACTGACGTATGCCTGAGGAGAGAGAAGATCAGACACTGCATAAGTGTGTGTGTGCTTTCAGCCACACATGTGCTGCATCTCCTCTAGATGAATATTGCTGAAAATCCTGCAGCTCTTCATTGCCTGTGTGTGAACTCATTGTTAATCTTCCTGGTGTTATTAAACCTTTATGCTGTAAGATGGATTTTGAGAAATGTCTTATGGAAGATTCTCAGTGCCTTGTACGTTCAGAATAAGGTTAATTTCAGAAGAGTTAAATACAGATGAATAAAAAAAATACACCAAAAAATTAAAATATTCTATAATAATAATAAAAAAGAATAAAAAAAAGAAAAATAAATCAATGAAATAAATAAATAATAAACATCAGGGATGCTCCGATCAGGATTTTTACAGCCGATACAAAGTACCAATACTAATGCTTCTAGCTTTATAATGCATTAAACACATTTTCCCTCTAAGTGTCATACTGAAGTGGAGATCTCACCTTACCTAAGAGAATAAATTAAGGATGCAGCATATGATCACTTAAACAGATCTCTTTTAATTAGTTAGTGTGGTCATGTCATGGCCAGAAGCCGCTTTACAGAAAATAATATAAAGCAGATTTAAAAATTAGAAAAATTACAAACAATGCAATATGGAAACCTTTGCAAATGATGAAAGAATAATTCAACATGTCTCAATCAAGAAAATGTTTGTAGCACATATTTGATGCTTAAGTTAAAATGTATACCTATAAATCCATTACTTTCTTACTAAAAGTAAATAAGCCTATGAACCACTGTTTATTGCATTAACCATTCATGAAAAAAAAAAAAATCATAATTTTAAAGTTTAATTTATCTAATAATTCCGGCCAGTTTTTAGTGAACTTTCAGTTGTTATATGTTAAAAGACCTAAATACATGCAAGAACCTTCAAATATTTTGTTCGTCTACAACTACTGACGAGGTTGACGCTCAATGAGTGTGGGAGGGATTTGCACTTGCAACATCTTTACTGCTTTATTCATTTAAGCCATGATTTTTATTTTGGCTATTTTAACAAATTTTTCTGGATCACGGAGCCTTTATGAATATCCGTGACACTTGCAGAGCTTGCGGGAGAGGTCATAAGTTTGGTTGAGACACTAGATAGGGGCTTTGCACATGTCACAGCACCTCAAAACACTGGAAATACAATGGTTGCCCAAGAGTCACATCAATAGACTGTATAAACAGGTCACACCTTATTTGTATGTATTTTATCTGTTGTGGAGTGAGCTCATAGATCCCACAACTCCACGCATCATTTACCTCCTCATGTGTTGAGGTTGCTGTAGGCTATAATATAGCTATAATATACCAGAGAACATGTGTGTCTTCCTCTTGCTTGTAAACTCATGAACAAACCCCCTGTGATCGGTTCATGAGATTGGCCAAATTGGCAAGGACCGATCGAGTCATTAAATGGGATTATCAGCTGATACCAGTCTTCAGCCAATCAATCAAAACTTGTCTGTTCATTCATACATTTTTTCCAATTCATTTCGGCGTCACCATGCTCCCACAGAGCAGCTCTAATTAACATTTATTAATAGGAATTTACAATATTTCATACTATTACCATTTAATAGTTTAAACACACATTAGGGTTGTAACAATATACCGGTATGACGGTTTACCACGATTTGAACGTGCACGATTATCATACCATGAACAATTGCATATCAACGGTTTTAACCCTTAAAGACCGAGACAGCCGCCCGCGGCTAAAAATAAGTATTGCTCTTAAATGTTTAATAACTTTTGATCCGCTGATCCGATTCATACAATTCAAAGATTGGCATAAAGAAGAGAATCTCAGCTTTCCAGTGCCGTATCACATAACATTCGCGGACTTCCTTTTATTTATTTTTTTTTTTTTTTTTATTGACCTCAATAACAAACATACAAAATTCAACAATTTACACAAAAGAACACAATGACAATAACAGATCAGGATAAACAATATAAACTTTAAAAATTAAATAAAAAAAGAAACAAAAGGGAGAAAAAATAAATAAATAAATAAAATTAAACATACATAACACAAATACAGCAAGAGGAAAGGAGGACTTATGTAACCGTGCTGTTTCCAAAATATTTATCATAAAGAACTAAAAATCTATCACTTTTCTTATTATTAACTAATCTAAGAGATTTAATAAAAACATCAATTTCTATTAAAAAATGTGAAAAAGAAGGCTGCGAACAGGAGAATTTTTGTTTATGGATAAAATATTTTCCATACAAAATAAAAAAGTCAATAATGTAATTCTCTGATATATCAGCCCCACCTCCATAATAACAAACGACATCCTGAAGATGAAAGGGTCTGGAAGAAGCAATGTGGTTACCTATATGGAGATATAAGTTTTTCCAAAAGTTTTTTGTACTTTCACATTGAAAAAATATGTGAATCAGCGTTTCGTCTTCACTCTTACAAAATGTGCATAAACTGTCAATCTCCAAATACTTTGCCAAAGTACCGTTTACTGGGTATATTTTATGAAGAATTTTGAAATGAACCTCTTTTGTTTTATTGGAAATGCAGTACTTATGAGGTAATAGCCAGGCTTTTTTCCAGTCTGTTGTGTCAAGGAAAGATGCCCAGTAAAATTTGCCTTTAGGAACATTATATTTTTTATTTTGAAAAATTTGTCGAATATATTTATTATTACATTTGTTGTCAAATAGACTAATTCCATTTAAAATCAGCTCTGGTTCTTTAATAACATTTTCATTAAACATTAAATGAGATTTTATAAGTTGAATTAGGCCTAACGGAATTGCTTTTTGCACAGAATTAAATTCTTTAAAAGGTAATGGAAAATTATTATTAGACATAAATTGTTCATAAGACAAAAAGTTGCCGGACTTATCAAAAATTGAGAGAATTCCAATTATATTTCGGTTAAACCATGTGGATAGAAAAATAGATTTATTTCTAATTCTAATATCAGAGTTGTTCCATAAAAAGCATTTATGTGGTGAGAAATTGTGGGAATAACACAATTTCCAGGAAAGAAGGACCTGCTGGTGAAATTTTGACAGTGCAATTGGCAATTTATTTGGTAGATAATTACATTTTAAAATAAAAGGAAGACCTCCAATTTTTGTGAAAATAGAGTTTGGAATAAAAAACCATATAGAGTTGGGGTCTTTTAAGCATCTTTTAATACAATTTATTCTAAAAGTGTTTACTATGTCCTCAAAGTCAATCACTTCAAGTCCGCCCTCTTTTCTACTATTTGCTAGAACTGTTTTCTTAAGTTTATGGGATTTATTTTTCCAAATAAAGTTTAAAAATATTTTGTTAACTTCTTTAGCAGTAGGGATATTAACAGAGAGAGAAAGTGAAGGGTATACCAAACGAGACAAACCTTCTGCTTTAGTCAAAAGAACCCTCCCATAAAGGGAAAGGTCTCTTTGTAGCCAAAGATTAAAAATGCTATGAGTTTTTTTAAGTCTACCAGAAAAGTTAAGCTGTTGTCTAGTGGCAAAATTTTTTGTTAAATAAATACCCAGATACTTTACAGTCTCTTTTACCAAAATACCATTTAATGAGGAATCATTAGTTTCATGAATCATCATAATTTCACATTTGGACCTATTCAATTTCAATCCAGAAGCACATGAAAATTCCTCAATTATACCTATAGCCTTGGACAACTGACATTTATCTTTTAAAAATAAGGCAGTGTTATCGGCTAACTGGGAGATTTTAATTTCTCTATCAAAAATAGATATACCTTCTAAGTTACGTTCATATATAATATTTAGCGATAGCAATTCTGTTACTAAAATAAATAAAAAGGGTGAGATAGGGCAACCCTGTCTCACACCGCGGTTAATAGAAAATCTTTTAGAGGTGTTGAAGCTAATTAAAACAGAGCTACTAATATCACTATAAAGCATTTCAATAGCATTGACAAAAAAGTCACCAAAACCAAATAACTTTAAGGTCTGCAAAAGAAATCCGTGTTCAAGTGTGTCAAATGCTTTATAAAAGTCAAGGAAAAGAATCATAGCTTTAGAATGTATGAAGTCAGCATAATCCAAAAGGTCCAAAGCAAGTCTTATATTATTACTGATATGTCTACCTTTTACAAATCCAGACTGTGTCTCAGCAACCAGCTGATTAATTTTCGTTTTTAATCTGTTAGCAAAAATTAAGGCTAAAATTTTGTAATCAACAGTGAGAAGCGTGATTGGACGCCAATTATCTATTAAATTGGTGTCCTTGTCTGGTTTGGGAATAAGGCAGATAACACCTTGTTTCATTGACGTTGTCATGTCCTTTAGATCAATGCATTCATCATACATAGAAAGCAATGGGTCTTTAATTAGTTCCCAAAAGTGCATATAAAACTCGACGGTTAATCCATCATTGCCCGGGGATTTGCCTTTCTTCATGGAATAAAGAGCTACTTGAATTTCCTCCAAGGTCAAATTGGAATCACAAAAAATTTTGAACTCAGGATCAATAACTGGAACGCAAGTTTTAATTTTATTTACATAATGATCACTACAATGTTTGTCAAAAGCAGAAGTGTAAATGTTTTGGTAAAAATCTGTAACAAAGTTAGATATTAATTTAGGATCAGTGCATTTAACACCATTGATATTGAGAGAAGTCAAAGAATTTCTCTTACAGTTCCTTTTTTCCAATGCAAAAAAATAGCTAGAGTTCGCCTCTCCCTCCTCCAGCCATTTAGCCCTGGATCTAACAAATGCACCTCTCGCAATATCTAGATAAGCTTGATTAATTTGTAGATGCAATTCCCTTAATTCTATTTTCTCTTTTTCAGACAAGTTACCTGTTAGTAAAGTATTTATTCTATTAATCTGTTCTGTTATTTTCTTATTTTTTAAATTTTTCAGTTCTTTACTTCTTTTTATTGCTATCTGTCTGACTCTGTACTTAAAAAATTCCCATTTATTCTTGTACCCAATTAGCATTTTATCTAACAATATATTCTTAATTAA